TACATTAATGCAAGTATGCATACCTGCACGCACACACACACACAGAGTTTCCACAATACACAAATTTATACATCATTGCCACTACACTCTGCAGTAGAAATCCAAGAGATTTTCAAGAGCCTTTCAAAAGCAGATCTATTATGTGGTCTGTTTTTAAGTTTTGAATACTTAAAGTATTTCTCAACTGTACATCAGTTTAGACTGTTTAGAAAGTCTATGCTTGGCTTGTTTTGGAGCATATGGTAACTGTATGTGCTTTGTTTCAATCTCAGGAGCCCAATATACCAATAAAAATTGTACATTAAGCGCTTTGGCAGCGACATGTATCTGTCCAGAATGCTCTCTGCTGTCTTTTCCATTCTCCAGTTGTTTATGCTTTCAGTGGCTACTCTCTGAAAAAGGGAGTGAAATGAGCAGCCTCAACAAGGCCTTGGGGAGCTGGAGAAAATCAGCGCTCACACAACAGACCAAACAGTAGCACTTGGATGGATTCTCTCTGCTCTCTATGAACGGAGTCGGTGGGGAAGAGTTACTTCCTTGACCCGGCTGGCTGCCCCGTTGCTCTGTCTGACCATCTGCGTCGCAGCTCAGCCCAACCCAATCCGGTTCAGCTCCTTTTCCCATTCTCCTTTTCATGCGCTGACATTTTTATCCTCCTATTAAAACTTTTAAGGGCCCATTATCTAAGAGGAAGGAATGTTACTTTAATAGTGTGGTGGCTCCATGCTTAGGCCCCTTCTTTTCAGTTTGCAACCAACCAACACTGGCTAGCTGCTTAATGTTCCCCAGCCAGTGTCGAGCAAAGAGGGGACCGTCTCCACTCCGAGACGTATGACAGCAGCTCAGCACGGACCATGAGCCCTCTTTTCACTGCCCCAAGCACTCAGAGCAGACTATAAACCCTTGGCATGCCTTCCACTACTTCAGCCCCATTGTTTCAGTCTCTCCACTACATGGTTCTCAGGTTTAAGAGAGCTTGCAGCACTGTGGTGAAGAACTTGTGGCCTCCTTGGGTCTTTTGTTTGAGGATCACAGGAGTCGGCATCTTAGCTGGAGCACCCATGTTAACTTCTTTTGCGCAGTTCCTCATGTCATGTTAAAACACATACCCTGCTGTTGAAAGTTTACTGTTGTTTGTTTTCTTTGTAGGCTGATTTTAGCTCAGATCTAGATGTTTAACTTGTGTCAGAAAATATGTTTTCAGTAGATTTTTTGCAAGGTCGTTAGAGCTAGTCTGGTTCTCAGAGTTTTGAGAAAAAGCTTTTTCACAAGCTATAGAGTTTAAATTGCCAGCCACTCCAATCAATCTCTCCACACAGCTTTCCATTTAGACTGACTTGCCCACAGGAGTTGTTATCATCAGTAAATCCTTATGTACCTTCGCTTTTTTTGTTGTTGTCCTGACCTGCTGGTTTTCAGTAAAGCAGCTGTGTGATGTTACCCGCAGCTAATGCCGTGTCCTGCAGGCACTGCAGCTCATCTCACATATTAAGCTGAAGTTCCACGGACTCAATGACAGACACACAAATTGATTCTGCTTCAAGATATTGAAAGATAATTTACTCTGGTCATTTTGTTCCCAATGATCATCCTGTTCCTTCTAATGTAATCACTGGATATTTAGAATGCTTAACAAGATCTTAATGGGTCACAAGCATATTGAGCACTACTGAAACAAGTCTCATCTACAAAGTCCATCAGCCCTCATTCTCCTATAGGCCCTGAACCTCAATAAACTTCTTGGTTAAGCACAGTTAGAAAAAGGGTGATGCCACATGCTTCTGTGTCAGTTTTTGACTTAACCTTGTAAAAAATAACAAAAGATGACTTTTTATTACTTTGTTGTATTTAGTCCTGAATATTTAATATATAAGATTTGAAGTTTTTAGGGACTTTAATGATTATTTTGATAATAAACTAAACTAAACTTTATTTTTGGCTATCTGCATTACCCTTGCAATTAAATGCTCTAATAAGGCAATTGTTCAGCTGTTTATACAATCATTGAAAATATTTATTTAAGGAATAGTTTGACATTTTGGGAAATACGATTATTCTCTTTCTGTACAGTGAAAATGAAGCTATAGCCAGAACATGTTAACTTACAGTAAAGCAGTAGAATAAGGACTGGAAACCACCAACCTGGCTCTGTTCATAGGTAACAAAATCCGCCTGTAAAGCTCACTAATTAAGATGTTGTTTGTTTAATCCATACAAAAACTGACGTGCGAAACAACAAGTTGTGGTTTTACTGCAAGGTTTTTTATCGATTAAACAAACAACATTTTTATCTTAGCCGGTTGCTGGCTGTAGCTTCATATGTACCATAACAGACATGAGAAGGGGTATTCTCTCAATAAGAAAGTAATTAAGCATATTTCCTCAAATGTCGAACTGTTCCTTTAACACACGTGCTATTACCTAGTGCAGAGGACAAACAATGGATTTATTAGCCTGTGGCAACACCATCACCTCTTAGTGTTTTGTACAGAGGTCACGACCTGTCCTGGGAGGATAAAGTTGTGGCTCCTTTGCAGAGGGAACACTCCCACTTGTTTTCTTGGTTAATTGCAGTGTTCCCTCTTTTTTTTTTACCGCAAGTGCAGCAGTTTTGATGACGCCTGTCCATGTTGAGCTGTGTGAAAACCCATATCCACTCTGGTCAGTCCCTCGGTAGCTATTTGAAAAGACTCCTTCTCAATTCCAAGACTTTGGAGTCTATTTCCTGTCCAGTTCTCTGCCTATAAAGTGGCCAGTGATAGTTTTTATAAGTTTCTTCATATAGAGTTATGTTTTATGGTCAGCAGATTGTTTGAGTGCATCATGGCACATATGATCTGGTATTTTTATTTATTTTTTTTCTCTCCTTTACTTTCCCATCCACCTCCTCATGAAAAGATGTTTTTTCTATCTGCTTCTCATCATTTAGTAATGATAAAAACTGGAGGCCTTTGGCAGCGAGTCAGAGGGTAGATGATTGCTGGGCCTGGCCTGCAGAAAAGGGCCATTGTGTCAACACTTTGGCTTTTATTGGTCCTCAGAGAGATGAAGGCCCAGGTTCTGGCCCCAACCCGACATGTTATTGATGGATAAGTCTGTAACATTCGGATAGAGGGGCTGCATAAATATAGGGGGAGTGAAGTGAGTTTTGGGATGCATAATACAACCTTAGTAAGTAATCTTTAGTCCATTGGGGTTACTTAGTTGGAAATTCAATCCTCTGTTAAGTTCATAGATGTCTGTTTCTTGCTCTAGCCTCAGATAGACGCAAAGCCAAGGAAACGGACCGCTGAATTCCACATCCTACTTAAATATCCACATGACTCGCTGTGAAATTTTCAGCACTTTACAGCAGCTGCTCTGTTGATGCTCATTCATGGTCACTTCACTCAGTCCTGCCATGCCTTTTTCTGTTTGCCTTCAGTGCTGAATCTTTGGGGGGGGGGGCTGTTGCTGCAGTTAGTGTCTTATAGCTCGCTTTGTCTGCAAGAATGACAGGGAGCTCAGGCAGGAAAGTCTGAGAGCATTGTGTGACCTTGTGTCACTTGTTGACAGACTTAAAAGGGATGGAAAGTATTTATCCAGGAGGACAGAATTGTCAGTCACACTCGCTTCGTCAGCTACTTAAGGTAAAAAAAGATAGATTTCAGCCACGAGTGGAAATGCATAAAAAGGCAGGTTGAGTTCTTGGCAAAACATATGGAAAACAAGAGGGCATAGTTAAAGGAGAGTTTGGTGGCAGGAGTTAAAGTACATGAATAAGTAATTTACAATAGAGTTATGTAATAAAAAAAAAAAAACATGTTTCTGTCAGGCTGAGATCGTTTTTTCCTCATGGCCCTCGAGGCAGGAACATAGAAACTGTATGACAGCACACGGTTGTCGAGACTGACACACTACATTTGGACTTTAGAGGAAGAGAGCACAAGGTTATATGAGCTTTACTAGGTGTTGGCACTTCCACACAAGTATGCAAATGCTTAAATTTATAGCAAAAAAAAGTTGGCTAATTAACAAAGTTAGACCTCCAAACACCCTTCAGTGCGACAGCAGATTTAATGAGACATTAATGGAGATGTCTTCTTGCTCACTGCCTCCCTGTTCGCCAGAAGAGAAGGAAAAAGGAGAGAGATCTGTTTGGTTTTTAATGAGCCAGAGAGCTGGGGTTTGTCATTGCATCTGTAGTGGTGGCAGGGTTTCACAACGAATAAGTCAAATGTCAGTCTTCTCCTGCAAAGGCAGCAGTCTTATTACAGTGCAGAGCAAAGCAGAGGGAGCATTGTGTTCATTGGTGTAATAATTCATGACATGAGGGTCTCAAGTCATGGAAATGCACGCTAGGTGTCTGTTGTACCTCTTCATCAAGCATTTATACATCACACAGAAATTGTGCATCTTAGGGTACCATGTTTAGTAAAGCTTTGAATTATGAAAGGCCTTTTTTTCAATAATATCTTCGTTTTGGGTTTTTAGAGGTTTGTCACATTCTTATTGAAGTGCTTCAACCCTGATGACTAATGAAAATGTGCACTGACACCCTTATTTTAGTGCATTCCCTTTTGATCTTAGTCTCTGCTGTGAGAATTTAAACCAGGAGTTAATTTTTTTCAGCGTATTCCTCCTTTCTTTTCTTTATGGGGGATTACCTCAATTAAAATTACAGGTCTACAGGATCAGCTCCTGCTGGGAGTTTTATCCTTTCTGTTGGCAGCCTTCTTTTTATAGCCTGAGCAGAGTGAGCATGTTCCAACAAGTGCTCAAATCTTTGTAAAGGGGTACTGGGCATGTCAGTCACCAGCAGTAGGCATATATGTGACTGAGGGTCAGAATGCGTGTCAGGCATTTGAACATTTTTAGTCCTCTTACCAGCTCCGTGATATCTAATTTAAAACCAAACTCTTTGTTTACTGAACGGTCTTTGACTTTTAAAAGTGTGTGTAATCTGTGTGGCAGGTAAGAGATAAACCTCTCTCTCCTGGTCTCGCTGTTTTCCTTCACAGTGCAACCAGAAGGCGCAAAGGAGGGACCCACCTGCATGGACAAGAATCACGGCTGCGCACACATCTGTAGGGAAACACAGAAGGGTGGCATCTCCTGTGAGTGTCGACCTGGATTCCAGCTCACCCGTAACATGAAGGACTGCAAATGTAAGTCATGTCAACCTCAAGCATAGTTCCCTCTCTGTGAAAGACACACACATACACACACAAGAAGGAGGATTTATAGGCTCCTCATGAAAAAGTGATTGGGGTTGGAAACCTGCCGATGATGGATAATTGCACTCATTCCACAAATACCTTCCAACAGATTTGAAGTAGGCTACTGACATTTACATTGCATTACCGAGCTGTGACTAATCTTCTGAGTAGTCCTCATAAAGAAAAACATGTTTATCAAATAAGGAGTGATCATTTACACAACCAGGGCAAGTGTGGAGGTTACTCGAAGGGGACTACTCTGACGGACAGCGCACACTTCCTGTTGCTGTGCAACGGAGATCATCCTGTCAGAGCTGGGGCCAGGGCTGATGGGGGATTTGTCTGTGTTTGGATAAGGATTGGAGAAGTGTTATTCTATAGTTTTTCTGTGACAGCCCAGGAAAAGGGCAAAAGGCGCTGGGATGGTAGGGTGCAGACAGGATGGCGGTGGAAGCCTCGGCTCGCTTGTGCTCTTTTTCACTCTGTCATCACAGGTGTGTTAAAAGTGCCAAGGTTAATGCTCCCTTCGCCCGCCAGAACATAAATGTATTGGCACTTAGAGACACACACATGAACACACATACTTATACCAGAAATCTTACGCTTCTTATCATTTATGTGTAACTGACATAACTGTGTATGTAAGAAATGTCCTACATTCTACAAAATGGATTCACTTAAAGTTTCTGCCTGTTCTGCAGAATTAATTAGGTGTATTACAATTAAGACTAGCTTGTAGGCTGACGCTCTTATCCAGAGTGACTTACAATGAGTATGTCCAACCTCTTGCTCAAGGCCAACTCATCGGCTGTTTAAAAAAATGTGACCTCCGCAACTTCAGTGTAATTCTTTAATCACAAGGTTAAAAACATTTAGTCAGGGGAATAATGAATGAATAAAGCCATGATTGTGATTGATGTAGTAAAGGATTCACCTTTCATGTGAAGTGGTGGATATGTAAATCAATTCTTGTGTTCTTCACATTATCATTCTGACTTTAATCAAGCCTGTGTTGAAAGATGTTTAGAGGTCCTATTGGTTTGTGTGCATCTGCAGTGATGTGAAACAATTTTCATTTTTTATTATTATATTTTGCAAGTATGTTATTTTGAGGAACTCAATAGCAAGCTTTACATACAGAACGTCTCCTTGGATCTGATACTGGAGCATTTATATCATAGCCCGGAGAAATAGTGTGTGGGCGCCCTGAACTGGGCACTTTTGTTACATATGATACCTCTCACTACCCTTATTTCTGGTCACCTGTCAACTCTACTGTCAACTTTAAAAATAAAAATATGTATCCTGTGAAAAGTGTATTATCTTGTGTGTACAGTTTATGTTAACTATGTGCTCTTTGATAGTGACGTGTAACTACGGTAATGGGGGTTGCCAGCACGTCTGCGAGGAGACAGACCACGGCCCCAAGTGCTCGTGCCACATGAAGTTCGTCCTGCACAGCGATGGAAAGACTTGTGTAGGTGAGTCATATCACCCTGATACAACTACCAAGGGCAAGAAATAATGGCTTTTGAATGAGAAAATGTAGAACCACAAACCACTGACTTTCAAATTTCCGACAGCAAATTTAATTAACGTTTTGAAATGAGGTTTATAGTGATAAAATGCAAGTTGAAATACAGGCCTTATTACAGTAGCTGTATGCCTGAGCCCTTTCTCTTGATCTGTGACATACAAGGACAAAAGGCTACCACCCACTGTGCTTTCTCTTCTTCTTCTTCTTCTTCTTCTTCTGCTGCTCCAGTAACCTCTCAGTCCCTGCATCTGCTTTTGGTTTCTCTTCCTCTTCTTCCTCCTCCTCCTCCTCTTCTTCACTGGACACTGCAACAGCTCCCTCTGTTCCCCTCTGTCTATCAGCCATGCAGTCAGACGCACACCTTCTATTAGCCCTTGGGTCAATTCCTCCGTTCGGGATTGGGGATTAACTCACACACCTGACCTAACCTTCCACTGGCATTTATCAGTGTTTGCCTCAGTTGACTTAAGTTGAGTAAAAATCATTCAGCTACTCAAGCATATTGAACCGTTCTGAAGGGCAGTTTCCCATCAGATGGGACCTTCATGTGCAGTAGAGTCAAAGCACAGGTCTCAATAAACATGTACGGATGGAGTTTAGCCATGCAGAATTGCACAGACATTTCATCAATGATTGTGGAACATTAAAAATAAAGTTGGTCAGGTGTAAATTTGAGACTGACCATTACTGCACACAGGCTTTTATTTTATCCGCCTATTTAACCAAAGTGTCATTAATAGTTTCTGTACACAGTGCACACCCATTTAAACCAATTTAGCATGTAGTTTGTAGTGTTAGTGAGCTGGGTTTGTAATGGAAGCTTCAGTGAGTTGGATAAGACATATTTTCATTGTCAGGAAGACAAACTTAATAATAGAATTAAAACCTACGCATGCAGGGCAGACTGGTGAGATGGTTGCTTGGTTTCAGTGGCTGTTAAGTTTGAGAGCTTGGTTTGGGTAGCGGCTGATTAGCTCAGTGTTTCTGCATCCCCTTTATTACCGCAGCCCTGATGAGAGCCAGACCTATGTCAAGGTCTGGTCAGCCAACCTGTCATTATTGCTGTACCCTGCTAGGCCAGGGGGACGCCACAAAGTTGACCGCAACCAAATTATATGTCTTAGCCTGTCTTGTTCCCAAGGCAGAGCAAAATGCACAGTTGGTGTGCCAGATGAGGAAGCAGTCAGCCAGTTAAAGTCTTTGATTTCCCCCTCAGAGTCTGGGGTTACAGAGGTGGAAGGAGGGCTGCTCTGCGGTCGACACGGGGGCGCACCATCTCCCAGACACTCTATTAGTTAATAAAACCTCAATAAAACAAACAATCTGCCAAATGAACCACTGACAGGAGAGTGAGTGACAAGAACGCTGGAAGACCTTCAGAAAGGCACCACTACTGTGCACTAGGACTGTAACTGTGTAGAGTTTCCACCATAAGAAAATATTCAGAAGCAATGCATGATGAAACTTCTGTCTTTTTTTTCATTTACACTTTAAAAGCCGCGTAGGTGTACACTGATATTTTAAGTTGGTGTGCCAGGTTTAAATATAATAACTAATAATAATAATATAATATAATACAATCATAATAATTACTATCCCTCTGGCAAAATAAATATGATATATTTATTATTATAAACATTAAGTGTTTCAAGATGCAACAGCTACCTTTGCTTTGAAGAAAGAAATGTCATTTTGATTTATTTCAAGACCTAAAACAAATAGTTTCTCTTGGAACCAGGAACTCGTATTCTAATCCTGAATTAACTTTCAAATATTCTTAAATGTCACAAACAAGATAAAAATTGGCTTGCTGGGGTTGTTGTATTTTCGAGCATTGTGTGCATGGCACATAGTGCTAATTACTTGTCAGCCACTGCGTTCAGGCATAGTTAATGATGTATAGTGTGTTGAGGGTATCCATAGCAACCACACAAAGTATAAACACACTCCAGTTTAGTCCCAATATTGATTTGGAAACGTTTATTATTCATTGAGTCTCTGCATACTTTATCGGAAAGGAACATGGCACACGATTACAAAACAGCTTTCGTCTTGTCAGTGACTTTGTCGTCTGGTGGGCTCTTTCAGTATGCTGTAGCTTCACTGTTCGATCCATCTTGTGGGGTGTTTCATATGCACTCTGCCACATTTTCATTCATTTTGTGGTGTCTCTCCTCACCCAGGCTCAGTCATGCATTTTGTAATAATACGCCACATGCTGCTCTGTTTGGAAGTGTTGGTTCTTTATCCTTCCTGTCTCACCTCTGTTGAAATCTTGCATACTGTAGATGGGGATTTTAGTGACAGAACGGGCTTTAATGGATGGCACACATGGACTGCTCTCGCTCATTCATACACACACGCGCACACACTCTTAGAAATATTTGTTCAATGGCCTACTCAGACTTTAAAGTCAGATTATTGACTGAAACAGTCCTAACAAAATCAGGTTTATTTATGCATAAAATGTCTGTGTATCCAGTATGTTCAGATATCAGAAAAAGGAGCAGCCATCATGTGGAAGCATTCACGCTGTTAGCACAGCAAATCATAAACATTCACAAATAGCAGGCAGATGCAGACATGCTCAGGAGTTCAATCATCTGAAGAGTTGGCCACACTGTGCCAGACACACAGACACACACATACACACACACACACACACACACACAGAAGGAGAGCAAGAGGTGCATTTTATAATACAAACAGAAAGCTGTACAAACAACTACAAACATACAGTACATATCCAGCATGCATGCATCACATGCATGTAAACACATCTAGTCTAGTCTAGTCTACATGCATATGCCCATAACATAAACACACTGTGCTCTTGTTTCGGGTGGTCTGTGCATTCATGCTGGTGTATTCAGGTGTATCTCACTGTGTTCTGACCTCTAACTGCTGAGAATCGTTCTTTCTGGATGTTGCATGTTGGGACTGGGACATGTTGGTTCAGACTGTGGCAGTCAATGTAAACTGTGCATGCTTCGTGGTGTTGATCTGTTACTGTCAGAGTTGAGCATCTGCTTCCTCCTCTGGCACCTCAAAAAAGTGTTTTTTTTTTTGTTTTTTTTACTGAAATAATGTTATTTGAAACATAACAGAAATAGAGCAGGGATAAACATGGTGGTTTTTACTGCATTTCTCAAAAGGCCTTTTATGTTTATACATTTTGTCGATCAGCTTAAAGGCCTAATCCGTCACCCCAGCTGTATCATGGGTGATTGTACATGGTCTGCATACTAAATGCGTGCCATGTAGTTTAGTGTAAAGATAAATATACACTCAGTGGACTGCAGAAAGGGTATTCACTATTCACATTCACAATTACAAGTAAAAACAAAAATAGACTAATGCTTTCTTGTTTATTAGTGGCAGCACATAAATTGTACAGCTGGGCCACTGTCGGTGCTTAGAGACTTGACATAACAGCCTAACAGCATCAATTCAGAAATTATCTGACCATAAAAGACACCATAAAGCCTAGACATGAATCTGGCTGTCCCTGTCTTTCAGCTTCCAGCACTAACCACCACTCGCTGTCTGTCAAGGCTCGCAGTGCTCATACTAACTAGCAAAAGCCTCATCTCACACACAGAAAACAAAACTGCACTTTGTCTGCACTGTTCGGAATATTTATTTGCATGACTGCATGTTGTGAGGTAACACTTTTGCCTTGAGATGTCACCCATTCATTTTAGACAAAGACCTGTCATCATCTTTGTTGTTAGGATTTGGAAAATAATCACTGCTGTTTGCTCAGTTGTTACCAGTAAGAGAATGTCTTTTCTTTTGCAACCACATAATGTAATTCTCTCATGTCATTATCGCCAATCAATGGACATTCCCTTATTCTTAGCCCCATTAATTATGAACTTCCAGTTATTCCTTACACTGAACTGGTGTCTGTGAAAGTTAGTGATTTTTTTTGTTGCAACTTTTTGAGAAATAAATAATGTGGGAACACAACTTGTCACACAATAAATGGGTTAATGTGATAATAGCACTAACTTCTACTTCTGAGGGACGGGAGGACAACTTGGAACAAGTGGCCTGAGATAACTGTGACAGACTAAGTTACCGTTAGCTAAAATGTTAAGTTGTGCTGTTCCACAGCCAAGCTAAACTGAATTTGTGGTTTAAACAACAGTGCGTTGAGCAGAAACCAAAAAATGGAAAAGGATTGTTCCTGTCAATACTGATACAGTCTCCATCATCTACCAAGAAGACAAATCTTTGTCTGATTTTAAATACACAAGGTTGTGTTCCACCTCATTTAATAAAAGCTGCCTGACTATGTTACTGTGGGAGGACTGATACGCCTCAGAGCTTTTCAGATTGTTCATTGATTCACAGTTGGTAGCAACAGAATCAATAAAGTAGCTAAATATGTTACTGTACATGATCAGACACCGCTTCTTCAGGTTGTCCTCCCACCCCTTTGGAAGTATAAGGCAGAGGTATGATCACATCATCTCTTTCAGGCGTGACAGGCTGTGTTCCCACATAATTTCCCAAAAATCTGTAAGAAAAGGGAAGACACCTGGAAATCATACCTATTATTTGCGCAAGGTATCATGGGGCTACAGAAATAAGGTGAATATACAGTATACCTCATCAGATTAGTTCTTGTCACATGCTCATGATTTATATAACATGCGAATGGTGCGTGGTTCAAGTGTACAGAGAACTAAAGTGGTGTTTTTACAATGTGTGCGTGTGTGTGGGTGTGCGCGTGCATGCAGGGGAGAGGAGTGTCCCGTCCCCGGCAGTCCCACAGCCGTTCCCTAATGGTAAATATGTGTTCCTCTGACTCCTCTCTCTGGGGGTCTGTGGGTGTGGGGAGTAGAGGAAGCTAACCTAGCAGACACTGACCAGGCTCTTCCCCTCCCCACAGGGGCATCATCCTTCTGACCCTTGATCTCTGACCCCACTCCCCCCCACACCTTCCTCTTCCTTCTGTGAATGCCCTCTCAATAACAACCGCTGGCCGTGTCAAACCACACCTTTTCAAAACACAGCTGCAAACAGGGCGCCTCTGACCAGCAGCAAGATCATTATATAAAGAGGCAGGGATTCACTGTATCTAATATTATTCATATATCCTTTCAAAATCATCTCAACTCCTGCAGTCAGTCTGACAGTGGTGGGACTAAGTACATTTTCTAAGGTACTTACTTACTATACTTCTTTATAATTAAGGCCCAAAGAGGCAAAATGATCCAATATTTCACACTAAAGTTCAAATAATGAACACAAATTTGTGTAGAAGAACTGTTTTGTTAATTTGAACCCTTCTGCATTAATCATAAAACAATGAATGACCCTTTGGAGCGGCCTATTCCCTCAACTAAACTACTGTACTGTAACTGTATATAAAGTAGTTAAAACTAGCTCCACCATGACTACCTATAACAGTAAGTAGAAGCTGTTTACTCATTGATTCATCAGTAGTAAGGATCTAATAATGTTATATATAATAATATGTCAGTCACTGGATATTTTACATATACTAAGACATATACAATTACTCTTCTTGGAACAACAATGTGTGTCTGATTATGTTTTGTTTTATGAAAAAAAACAAAGTATAGCTCCACTTTCAAATCCTCAAAAGGGCATCTACTCCATCTACCTTGGTAAAAATTCAAGAATCTTTGAATATGAACATTGTGTTTTCCTGCTGGACACTCTCATTCTCACTCCATTCTCAGTGTTTGTGCACTGGTGGCTTCAAGTTTCTACATCACATTAATAGTTTGTCCTGGTCCAGTATATATAGATCCATACTGAACCGACCTGACTTCCAAACTATTAATTACAAAAGTTTATTGGCTTATAATACCTCTGTACTTAAATACTTGCAATGGAGTATGTAATGGAACATTTACTTAAGTAAAGGATCTGAATACTTCTTCCACCACTCAGTTTGATTGATGTACTGATTAAGGATATACTGTATTAGCACATTAGCCTTTGTCAAAAGTCCAAAACACCATCAGTTTAACTGTGATGGCTTTTAAGAGGCAGACCAAAGACTTTTATTTGTGTTTTGATACGACTGAAAAGAGTGAAATTAACCTTGCACTGTTTCAAACACACGGCCGTGGTGTTCTTAAACTCCATCATCACGGCCTATTAGCTTTGGTGAGGGAGCCAATAATGTGTCCATGATTCAGCGCTGCTTCATACAAAAGATTAAACCCAGAATCCCTCTAAACTAGCTTTTTCATGCACATGTAATCTTGTGCCCTAAAATGGTGAAAATAATCAATTGCAGGGAATATATCCATGTTATTCTTGTCCAGCTTCTCCATCTATTTTGTGGCCAAAAGTAATTTGTTTCACTACATTTGCAGTAAAATGAACAATGGTGCTTTGGAGGAAAAAAGTGTAGTTTTTGCATTTTGATAATATCAATAAGACTATTAAGCCCAATTTTCAGGACAAGCTGTGTTTTAATAGATATTGCAAAGATGCCAGGAAAAATAAACTCATAAATCTGCAAGGATGTATCAAACCTTGATACATCAAAGAGATTTATGATTTAATTATACCATGTAAGAGACTGAGGGAGGAGGCTTGCTCTCACAGGAGTAGCCTGTTCAAGGTAAGAAGCGAAACAATAGTGTTTTAAGTTACTAGTTGTTACTACTGTATGTACACTGAGTTTCCCACATGCTACAATATAACAGACTGACCTATTTTAGAATTTTGTGTCCTAGTTTCTGTTTTTTTTTTTTTTTTTCAGAAATAGAAACATTGGAGCAAAAGACATATTTTGCATCCTCCTTTATCAGTTTTTTTTTTTACTGTACCATGCTGAAACCAGTTTTGTGGTTTACTTTCACAGTTGCACCTCTAGAGAACATTAACAAACTGTTCTCACTGGTTTTTATTGTGTGGTTTAAGGTTATTGAGAGAGCGTTCACCTCAGAGCTTTAGTTGTTTTTTTGTCTGATAACAACTCTACCTTCTGAATAACTTTACTGCAGCTGCATGTTTGCTGTTTGGTCAAGAAAACTAAAAAAGAAAAAAAGAAGATCCTTTTCTCCAAAGCCATCTATTCCCGGTGATAAACAAAGAGGGAAACTCTGTCTTGTGCCTCCTCCTTGCGAATTCTGTCCACTCACCCGTTGACGTATTTTGTTTGCGGTTGTCATAAATGGCTGATGACAAGTTGCATTGAGGTTGCTTGTCAACAGTTGTGATGTTAAGTCAAGAAGTGCTGCAGCTAGAAATCCTGTGGCTTCTGTTAAAAAATTATCTACACAGTCTGCACCTCTCTGTATGAAACATATACTGTAGAGGCTCAGCATTAGGCCAAACACCCAGCACATCACATCGGAGAATATTTACAAAAGTCTGCCCACTGTTACTGTAATTGCTGGTCCCAACCCGATGCACTGTAGATGTGGCTGGTGTGCATCCAAAGCACACAAACCCACACACATACCAGAGTGTGTGTCTCTACCCTGTTTTCACAAAACCATAATGTCAGAAATATTTCTTTGCTCTCTTAACACATGATCATTACAGTTTGGTGAGATGGCTGCCTGACTAAGCATTTTGGAGGCATGTCCTGACACTGTCTTATCGTCTCGCCTGCCAACTGTCTCTGCTCACACTTTGCAATTATGTGAACCCACAGTGCTACACTCTCAAGCCTGGGTTGGGACCGGGGTATTAACTGGAAGCCCCCCTCCCTCTGCCCAATACTCTATCATAAGCTATCTATCACTCTCCTGCAAAGGATCAGAGGCAGAATAAGTGTGTTCTCACCTCACAGAAAAGGACTTCAGCTCTGAAGTACATTAAAGTAAGTGTAACTTTTGCTTAGCTGATACAGTGGACACAAGTGGGACTTATGGGGCAATAGTAAATGCCAAAAAGTAGAGTAACATTAGCACAATTAAAGAAGAGTCATAAAGTTCTCAAGTCACAACTAATGTCAATTACACAGCAATATCTATGTAAGGGTTGCTAACAGTAGCTACATAAGCCACCAAAAGCTACCAGTCATACCAGACCTGGTAAAACCCTTGAGTGTATTAAGTCTAACAAAGTGTGTTATAAATTAAAGCTGAGCCACCCAAAGTGGGGCCTGCAGGCCAAAGTCAACCTGCCGTATTGTTAGAATAGAAATTGTCTTTTTATTTTCTGTGAGATTAAATGCTCTTTAATAATGTAGGATCTCTAATTATTAATTGTTTTCCATAATTTGAGCTTGGCTCACAGGGACAAAAAGTCAGTCAATTAAGGGAACTCGGGATCTTTGGGACCATTTTGCGTCTTAACAATAGCTGTTTGTCTTTGATTCATGGCCCAACATTAAGTTTCGGATTTTGCCATCCAAGGGGGAAAAGTTTAGGCAGCCCTGAATTATACTTTTTAATTGTAAGTGAAAGATTAGTTCTTCTTTTTCATAAAGTGTTTAATTTTTATTACATTTTTTTGTCCCAGTATATTAATGCATCATGTTATGCCTTCAGCAACAACATCCACTGAACTGTTTTGAGCTGTTGTCTATGAAACGGCTATAAAACATAAAATTACATCACTGTAAGCACCTGTTTTGCTTTGATACATAATTCTAGTCTACAGTTGAATTTTTTTTTATTTGGAGAAAGAAACTTTCATTATTGCTGCTGCAGGCAGTGCAGTTTTAGATTTAACTGAAGAGGATTAGGTTTCTCCCCAAAGGGATCCTCATTCTCTATAAAAAACCAGTGGGGCTGCATTCCCTCTTTAGTGCCACGTGTGAGCTGCCATCTCCTTGCCAGTGTGAAGTCTTCGACTAGCCCAGCTGTGCTGGCTCCTTTTTAGAGGAGCTGCCAGCCAGCATCCTACAGCCCATTAGAGAGAAGTGATGACCAGTTGCCTTACAGCAAGTTAAAGTGATTGTTCCAGATCGCAATACGGTTTTTTTATTTGTTTTTGTTCTGAAGTGTGTGAGGTTTTCTATAAAGCTGCCAAAAACTATTAAGGCACACACCAGTCTCCCTTATATGAGAAAAAAATTCTCCTGCACTGTTACTTAAAATGAAAGTCTCAGTGAAATTTGTCACTGTCTAGAGAAGAGACCTCAGCTATCCTGTCTTGACTGACTACCTCCCTTTTTCAAATCAGTCCAGCCAACACAGGGGCCAGGTAGCTGAAATTGCTTTTTTATCCCCAAAATGCCTGGAAGGTTTTGTCAAAACCAGGAAAAAGTGGTGTTTTTGTCCGCATCTGTCTGGAAGTCAAACCTCTGCCCTCATGATGGAGGGGAGACAGATGCCCTACAGTACAAAGGACTTTTAGAGGTCGTTATTCACCTTGACCAAAGAAAAGCAAACATGCACACACCTACATACTTTTCAAACACATAGAGATAATGTGTAAAACCTTATATGTGGCTGTGTTGGTTGTTGTATGTCTCTCTCTTTTCATTATTCACAATCATCTCCTCAATTCCCTCACTGTTAATCCCATCCGGCTGCTGCTTTCATGATTCTGTTCTCTATTCTTGTTTCTTCTTCATTTCTTCTTCATTCCTAGGACCTGAAAGCCTGCTCCGCTTCTTATTTCTTGCTCCTGTTTGACACAAAAAATGAATGCTGATTATAATAGTGTGCCTTCTCATTTCAACTGTAATGCCAGTATGCATGTACCCTGTTTTGATGGGGAGAAATAAGTAGGTCAAGACAGTATCTACGGTGTATTTTTCTATGGAGTTTGTCTGACTGTGTGTGCTTGTTCCCCTGCAGAGACCTGTGCAGTGAACAATGGCGGCTGTGATAGCACATGTCATGATTCAGTGACAGGAGTCCGCTGCAGCTGTCCTGTTGGCTTCACTCTGCAGCCGGACCGCAAGACCTGCAAAGGTAAAGCATCGCCATTCAAACTGCAGCTGTCCAGCTGTCCAGCTGTCACCAAATGAATCTCTTGCTTGTCATCTTGCCAGACACATTGGAGCTTCTGTCTCCACCTGGAGCTCACAGGAATTATTATCTAGCTATTTACCCTGTTCCCACCCTCCCAGTTAGCACATTTCTCAACTTGCTAGTTGGGTTTTCTCTCTATAGACTACATTATTATTGTTTTGCACCCACAAGTGCTCTTGCAATGTCTGCATCCTTACTGGTGCCACCAATCTTGGACTACTTTCTGCTTTTCAGCTGCATATTTTTGAGTAATATTTTGTCATGCCACCAGTTTTTCTTGACAGTTTTTCCACTACATTACCGTCACCCTCCTTTCTGAGTGTTGACAGAGCATCCTCAACTCAAGCAACCTGCATACTGTAGCAAGTTTTTCTATTACGTCTAATAAAATCAATTCCAAACTTTAGGGTAAAACTGAGAATTATATTAGGAGACTAAGAAAACAAAGGCACTACTGACTGTCTGTCAGATTTTGGGGAAAATGAGGACGATCTGTTTTTCCAGAAAAGCAGGAATAGAAATCTGTCAGCTTTCTATGGCTTATAATGTTAGACTAACAACTCTGATAAAAGTACATTGGCTTATATTAGTTTGGTTTGAGAGGAAACAAGAGGAAAACAAACCCAGGAAGCTCTGGCACAAGAAGACAGGGGCTCGCTGCAGGCTAGGCACTTCTGAAGAGCGGAGACAAATATGGAGCAAGGAGGGGATTATTTTATTCCATTTCTGATGCATTTATTTCAACCAGATGAGACTCCCTCAAGAGACAGACGCCTCATTTGTGATGATGATTCAGAATTAATCAGAGCCGCTGCCAAACTTACCAAGGCAGAGTACCATCAAAAGGGATGAACACATGATATATCGCTTTAGTATTGGCTACAGAAATAAAGAGCAGAGTAATCGGAAGGAGATGGACAATGACGATTCCAAGACCTTACTGCCAGGAGGCTTTAATGTGTGAGAGCTGCATCCCATTACAGCCACACACAAACTAACTTTAGCCCTTCTGAGGGCCAGTAAGGACTGTCTGTAAGACTATGATGGCAAAACACATAATCATCCTATTTTGCATGATTCTTCACCTACAGCCTAACTGCCCTTGTTTTATATCCCAACCTCACAATTCATATTTAACAACTTCTCTTTTATTAAAGTTGCTATAACCAATATATTTATATTAACAGTGGATCACATGACTGCTTAGCGATTCCCAGTTCCCCTCAGTTCTGCAGAGCTTTTCAGCATCTTCATTGTTTTGGTTTTCTCACCACTTTCACCAAGCGTGGTCTCCCGCCGACACACGGTCAGCTGTTTTGAGCAAATAAGGTCTAAAAATCCTCTGTACTCTATAAACAACAGACAAAGTTAGTTACTGGCCCATGAACAGAGTCTAGCATTTAGCAGCTATTTATCTCAGGAACTGGTGCAGACCAAAAACAGAGCTTAAAGAGAGAATATTTGACGTATATGTTCATCAGGATGCCAGAAACACAACTCCAAATGAATGATAATGTTGCTCCGTGACAAGACTCGATGTGAACTGTTTGCTAACAAGAAAAATATGTCACAGCTTGTTTCCAATAGTCAAGAAAATCACACATTGCAGGTTCAATTTTAATTTTCTCTCCTTTTCTTTAATTTGATATATCCACTGTTCTTAATGATTTTCTGTTCACAGACATTGATGAGTGCCGTCTTAACAATGGGGGATGTGATCATGTGTGTCGAAACACAGTGGGCAGCTTTGAGTGCAGCTGCAAGAAAGGCTACAAGCTGCTGACCAATGAGAGAACTTGTCAAGGTACGTAGGCCTTTTCTCTACCTTTTGCTACTTAACTCTTGTGGACTACTACCCAAAACCATGTCCTCAACAAAAACCCCCAACATCTTATAAATGTTGTTTTTTTTTGCATTGTTTAGCAAGAATAGTAAACCAAAAATGTCTTCCTGGTGACGCAAAAATACATTCCCTCCAACATACATAGACGCCAAACCAGACCTCTCTGCCTTGTTTGTCTGTTACATTTGGTGGTAGCCATCGCTCAGCAGGGGCTCGGAGGACTAGCAGCAAAACAAATAAAGAGTTTGCCATGGCCGAACACAGGTGTGGGGAATTAGAGTTCCAACTCTAAAACCTCTGGTTCTTGGACGAATCAAGCCACTACAGAAACATCTGGTGAAAGAAGACAGGCAGGCTAGAACTGCGGAGCCGAGTTCAGCCTCTCTCCGAGTGGAAAAACAGATGACATGCTATTCTTTAATTTTCTTTTCTTTATTGATGTGGTCAATCAATATCCAGCCTGGTACACATCAACGTCATGCAATGGGTTTAGAATTGCTGCACTGAATCACACCACTCTGTACACAGTACATAAACATCTTTGTGGTCAATGAAAATATACAGTGTGTCGCTGTGCTTTGCAGCCACTTTCCTGTCACTTCAGATCTATTTCCCCTTTCTCTCATTATTTGGAGCCGAACAATGCGATGTTTATTTTGCCCAAATAACACAGATAACTGAGTAAATGTGGTCTGTGCATGTAGGAATGTAAATCACAGCTTGTTGTCTGTGGCACCATGCCTCAGCCAACTCAGTGTGCTGTTTGGGTGCACAGGGGAAACTTTGGAACAGTCTTGTCCTTGTTTGGGGCTGTGTGTTTTGTCTGGAGAGAAGGGCTGTGATAAAGCTCACCTCCTGTTGAGTGAGGTGTTGCCAGATTTATACATACTCCACACTACTGAGTCACCTGTCTGCTCCTTATCCTGTGCTCTCATTCCTTTCATTTTTCTCACCCGTGGAACGAGAGCCGGACAAAACAGAAGCAGAATGCCTCTCAGGCTGAACTTTATCTTAATGATTCCTCTTTCGATTCTTGGTGTTTTACCCCTTGTGTTATCATGCAAATCAGTGATTAAAGGAGTACTTCAGGGGTTTAGTATTGCACCTCCATGAGACAGACAAGAGACAGACTGGAAAAAGAAAATCAAAATCAAAGCAGCAGAGGCAGAAATATCCTGACCTTTAGTATCTAGTATGGGACGAGCTCCAAAAACAGTGGATCTTACATTTCCCATAATGCAGCTCAATTTACACTTAATAGTGTCAAGAAATACTATGGTATTAAAGGTCCTTGGCATGTGTCTGATATAAACACCACTTTATATGTTTCTGACGACAAATTCCAGTTGTATTGTAAATCCCTGAAATTAAAATAATAATAAATCTGCAAAAGAACTGCTAAGATGTGAAAAACTGAAATTAATTACCAAATTAAAGGTCCAGTGTGTTACATTAAGTTACCTTAAAAAGAGCTGTTTATATCCACAGACACCGACTAAGAAATCGAAAGATTATACACATAGAGAGTACCAGCCATGAAGATTAAAACAGAGATTATACATAACAGATAGAAAAGAAGAAAAAAAAAACCACAAAATAATAATGCTTGACAGTATATTGTGGCCACGGTCAGTTCCCCGGCGGAAGGGAGAGGGTGAAACGAGGGAGTTTTGATCTGCAACTGCACGGCTAGATGCCACTAAATCCTACATGCTGGACCTTTAACTAACCTTCAATTTATGTTATTTTATTTTTTATATTTATTGTTGTTATTTTTAATTGAGGTACGTAAATAGAATTTTCTTATTAGTGTCTTTTAAGAGACCCTCCCTGCCTGCCAGCATCTTTTAAACTCCATGCCTCCAGTTTATAACCCAGGATTTAAAACTAGTTTCTAAGCCCAATTTGAGAAAACCCTGATGACATCAGCATTATTTTCTCTGTTGACTACAGAACCACAGCAGACATTATACATCAGTTTTCATAGGCTGATCTTCATGTGTATTAAATATGTGGAGTGTCCCGTTAAATTTCCCAAACATACTTGTGTGTTTCAGAGGTATTCCTTTGATAAAACAACATAAAATAATCTCTCCATGCATTTCTCTTATGTGCATAAATCCAGGGTGAGCTGCGGCAAATGCCATGCTACAGTACTATAGTTGTGTTAATAAGTGCCTGGTGTTGGGTCATGGTGTTCAGTAACACTTAAACAGACGTTTGCTGTCTCCACGAGGTGTTGAGATGTGTAAACTGAACTCTGGGTTTATCTTGGTTTAAACAGTCATGGTGTTTCCCTGCTGTCAGTGGACCATGGTCCATAAGTCAGGATGGGGCATGTCTTATGAGCCCCTGCCAGCATTCCTCCACCCTCAACACCCTCTAAACCCTCCCTCTAAACCCTCCGTCTCCTCTTCTTTGCACTCCTACTCCATATGAGGGCACTCAGATGTTCATCAGATGCCATGTTTTCTTCAGAGGGAACATCTATGATAGAGCTCTTATCTGTTCTGTATAAACAATACTGACCTTGTTTTAGTTTCGGTCAACCTCATTTGCCTCCGTAGAATTTTATATTGAGCAAAGGTGGAGGTTAAAGTGATAAACTGAATCCTGACACCCATACTAGTATAAGGCATTGAGTGGCCAGATTAACAGAGAGCAAAGAGAGGAAATAATTGATCAAAACTGATTTGTTATTTCCAGTGTAATGCGATATCACTGTTCTTACTTTATCTTTCCATGGTCCCCTGCACGTACATCACCTCATGATGCAGTCTTGCCCACCCACTGCATACTTCACCTTATCTGCCTGGTAAATAAGGGTTGAAGTATCTGGAGTCCCAGATGTCTTCACACATCTACTCTGTAGCGTGACACAACACAAAACGATATAATGATAAGTTGCAGATCGTCTTCTGGCGTCACTTATTGCAACATTTTTTGAGGGTAAACTCAGTCACCACGCCTAATTCCCAGAGGGTTTTCGACTCTTCGCTAAAAAGTGTGCTCAGCTAAGTTTATACTTAATATGCTAAAAATTATCACTTTTGCAATGCTTCATGCACATGTGCCAGCCCATGTTGCTCTCATCTGCCACTGCTGTTATGACCCTCCTGGGGTCAGCAGAGGGGGCATAGAGTGAGGACTGTATGAGTTTGTTTTTGTAAATGTTTTTCATCTTTATTTATGCTCACTTTTGACCTCTCTGTATAAAACCAGCGAATCATGTTTTAAAAGATCACAAAAGTTCGCCTAATTTGGTTTATTTTTTTTATTATTTTTTTTTGTAAAAGTATATTTATTTGAAACCTTTGAACATCTACCTGTGAAATTCCTCCAAAGTTTGTGTGCCCTTTTGTAAACTGATAACTTACTGTAAAAAGCTTTTAATCGACACACATTTTCATCTACTTGATGTTCTCACAACATGCCCGTCAAGTATTAACCTCAATGACTGCCTTCACTGTCTGAGTTCAGCTGTATTTTAGGCTACATGAAGGATTATGCCCAGTGTGAGGATTTTGTGCTTATGCTGTACAACTATGCCAGATTTGTGCAGACATTTATCAGTCTGTCTACTTGGTTTCTTCAAGGTAACCCATTATTTAACTGAACTCCTGTAATTGCTGTGAAATACCTGCGTCATCTGTTTGATGGTAGCTGGCGCTGCCTCATAACCCAGAGGAGGCTCAGATATATGAAAGAATGATATTCCTGGGAAAATCCTGGAAACCTTTCTTAAATTAGCCAATTAGACATCCAGCATGAAGTTAAAGCACATCCCCATTTTCTCCCAGCATGCGCTGCCTGGGCTTGACACAGATTATTGCTGACATTAAAGCAAACCTTGATCGTAATAAAACCAAATATCATACATCTCCTTTAGCTTCAAGTATCAATCCTTATGGTCTTTGAGCCTGTGACATTTAAGCGACTTATCAGGATGCACATGTAAGAGAGCAGAAAAGCTCGAAAAGATTACCACAGAGAGGCTACTGACAGGCAGGAAGTAGCTGTAGCAATGTGAATGTTCAGGTGTGAAGAGGCTGACAACGTTAAAGGGCCAAAGAATAAAAGCCAGCTTCATCCTACAATGATCATTTTTACAATGTTTTGAAACAAATATCTATATGATCTCAGAACAAAAGAATGAAAAGTCAGATGTTGGGGTTTCTAAAAATACTAAATCATTTATGATATGGTTAAGAGGAGAAAGGTGAAGGTGATTGGCAGGTTGTATGTGGAGAGGAAAAAAGGGCACTTCAGCTCCTATTATCAGGTGAAGAGCAGACTTTCTTTTGACTCCTGCTGTGGCCGCTTGGTATTTCAAAAATACTTTGAAAATTCCATTTCAGTGCATCGAAATGGAAAACTGCATGACTCCAGGAGGTCAACCACTATACCAAGTAACAAACAGAAGACGTCTTCCTTTCAAAGGACGCTTTTTTTCCCCCCTTTTTTTTTTGTGACATGTGACTTGACCCACTGTAATTCATGACAAACAATGAATACAATACAGCACTGAAGATGAAAACGGGAAAAAGTGCCATGACAGAGGGATGGAAGAATCCTGTTTGAAAAATCGAAAGATCTTTTTGTGAAATTTGTTGAACAGTTTGAGAAGTTTCTAACAGCATGTCCTTCTCTCCATACAGACATTGATGAGTGCTCTTTTGACCGCGCCTGTGACCACTTTTGTGTCAACTCTGCCGGCAGTTTCCAGTGCCTCTGTCATAAAGGCTACGTCCTCTACGGCTTGGCACATTGTGGAGGTAAGCCAGAATGTCTGTTCCCCCCCACGCCTCGTCTCTTGATTTCCTGTCAATCACTCTTTCTCTGCACCCTACACCTCTCTGCTAACCCTCCATTAGTTGCTCTGGTTTGGCAGGAAAAACATTACTACACTAGAAGTAAATTATTAATGTTAATTTAAATTTCCACTGACAGCTCACATAAAGCTCTCTACAATATGCTGTGTTTAGTAAAGGACCATACCAGATAGTTTTAGCTGATACATTAAAGTATTGTATATACTTTCAATAACTGCTGATTCATAATTACTTTGGCAATCCCTTTATGTTTCTTGTAGAAGCATTATCAGGTCAGTTTGTCTAATACTTTGGTTTATGTCCAGATACCTGCAAAAAATATTCATATCAATCTGTCTTGTACTTTGTGTTTAGTATTAATAAGCCAATGTTAGCATGCTAAGGTCAAGGATATCTTTTTTACCCCCAAAGGGCAATTTGTAGTACAGCAGCAGTAACTACATAACCACATAGCTATCAGACAACAGTAAACAAATAATAAGCCATAATTACAGTACAAAGATCACATAAAATGGTTTAAAAGGCCAATGGTAGCAGGAACAAAAGAGCGTTACAGTCTGTTGGTCCTGCGTCTTGACAGAATGTATCTGTGGCCAGATGGAAGCAACTTAAACTCCTCAGACAGGAGGTGGCTAGGATCAGTCAGGATAGACTGGGCCGCCTTCAAAGACCTCAACTTGTACAGGTGTGGCAGGTCATTTGAGGTCATGCCTGCAATTTTGCTGCACACTTCGTCCTTCCGTTCCTGTTTTTAAGGGGATATTAACCCGTAACAGATAAAAAAAGAAGACTGGTTCAGTAAAACAGGAATAAACCATTTAATTTATTATCAACATTAAAACTTTGAACCTAGTGACAGTGTGAAAATCGAAGGTCAGCTTGTCGTCCGTTACAGTGTCAAGATATTTGTACTGCTGCACAAACTCAACAGCCTGATTACTAACCATCACAGGAGAGATGATCATAGCATTATTCCTAAAATCTAATGTCATCTCTTTAGTTTTGGACACATGTCCAACAAGGACGAATTTTACCAGCCTCTGTAGGGCCAGGATTAGGGTCATCACTACTGAGAAGAGACACAATGACAGAATCGTTGGCAAACGTAATAATATGTTGTCTCATGTGTTGGCTCGGGCACTCATTAGCGTATAAAAGAGATGAGAGGACACAACCCTGGAGCGGTCCAATGGAGGAAAAAACCCTCCATTGACCTTCACACAAGGTGACCTTTCTGTTCAGTCCATCAGTCATCATATCAGGCAGGGATCAATCTTGTGGATGCTCTTTAACCTGTCGGCTAAAATGTGAGGCTGTACATAATTAAAATCTGAGGAAAAATCAATATATGGTGAAGATGATAAACATTATACCTGCTAAACATCACCATGTTAGCTTGTTGATGTTAACATTTAACTTAAAGCACCTCTGTCTACAGCCTCACAGAGCTGCTCGTCGGTCTGTAGACTCTTAGCCTTGTTAGATAATGTATGGAAATCAACTTCACTTGAATCATCTTTAAAGGTAATCTATCAAAGTAAACATTTAGTGGTTCTTTATTGTTCTTCTTTTCACCAGCTGACTCGTAAATCACAGCATCCTAAAAAAAACAAAAAAAACCATGGAAAAGTCCCTGCATGCACCTGCGTTCTTATAATAACTAAATGTAACTAAGTGACTCTGATGGATTACATACTGCATCTCCAGCCAGTTTTAAGTCTTTGCAAGTTTATTTTCAAATGGATTGAAATGAGCTGAAACAGGTTGCTGCCTGGAAGGCAGGAAATCAATCTAAGAACTTACGGTACACTTGGCAGTAATGTAAAGTGTAGACTATTTGTGCTGTAGTTAATGGACTAAAACATGAAAAACTGCAGTTGTGGTCCTTCAAGGTGAAGTATGACCATGTCCATCAAACATTAGTAGGTACCTACTGTACTCTGGTGTGGAACAGATAGCAGAAACAGCCTTTGGTGTCAGGAGGTGGTGTGTGGGGGCGCGTTAGATCTGCCTGGCAGGCAGCAAGAGGCCCGCCAGAGCACATCAGGGTGTTGCGGCGTCCCTTTGATGGAGTGTGTATCACCAGTTAAAATCTGCTGCTGTCTCCAGCGCCTCAGGGCCTCACAGTAGTTCTGGGAGAGACAGAGAGAGACAGCATATGTACTCGAAATACATAGCTTGGCAGTGATTTGTTCTGTGTTTTTTTGTCTGTAGTTTGACAGGTCTACTGATCAGGAATGTTGCAACAGAATGTAGAATGAGGAGTGTTACTGAGACCGGAGAGTGGTAATGTGCAGATGTGTGCAACCATGGGTTCTGCACAAACAGTGCAGTTAGTTACACCCTCAAAAAGTACAAAACTTTTGATACACACCATCTTACTGCAACATGCCCAACTGAGGACCTTTGCTGCACATTATACTCCTCTTTCTCCCTGTGTTTCCTGTCTCTGTCTCTGCTGTCACAATACAATAGTTAAAAATGCCTGAAAAAAGACATTACAGAATGGTTTCTTACTATGCAAGTACTACATACTCGAGGTGGACAAAATAACGGGAACATCTTTGAGTAATAAGCAATCCATTCAAGTGACCCAGCAATAAATACCACATTTTTGAAGCTCATATAGTGCTTACTCAAAACTTGTGGCTGTGAGATGGCTGTAATAGTATAGGATTCTAGGATTCTATTATATTTTACTCTCACTCTATGTATGGTTAGAATTACACAAACTGTAATACGAATGGGTCTAAGAGGTTCATGGGATCCATTCCACACATAGGCAGCTATATTAGCTGTCAGTTCAGGTAATAAAAGCACCAGAATTGGATTTGTAAGGCTTTTACTCACATGATGGACTGTGATCAGGCCACACTGAGCTGCTGAGAGGAGAGGAGATGGTCAGGCGTAAATGAGTCTCTATACCATTGTTGAGAGAGTCAGTGATGAATGATTTCCCCTCGCTTTTCATCGGCGCTGTCGGAACTGTTAGATAACCCCAGAGATTTACGGCGCTCCCTGTTGTACTTTCTCACTCCCGGCCATAACCAAGGTTATGTTATTCCCTGTGTGGTTTATCAAACGAAATATAGCTGCCAAACAATCCAGAAAACTGTGCTCAGTGTTTAACAATAGACTCACCCTAAACAAACCCAATTAGGTCAGTGACCCGCTGTCAAGCATTGTGCCGAGGCCTGTCAACATTCCTCCCAAGTGAGAGTATATCCAGCCATTCTCCCTCTCAGCTAGCAAAACAATCCGCTCATTTTTTGCTTATCTGGTAAGAAAATAGACTCAGAGCAGTTGTGACTAAATACTTAAAGTATTTTCAATTTTCCTCATTTGATCCAGCCAGCATTGACTTCAACAGAAATATTTTCTTCTGGTACTGACAAATGTATGTATGTATACATAGATCCCCCCAAAACCTCACAGAGCTTAAGTTGATATATCAAAGTTTATTGGAAATAAAAAGCTGTCCAGATTGTGCTTCAGAAGATTTTGTCATTACAATGTTGTTTGGACTGGGAGTTGCTGATGTTGATGAATAAGCACACAAAAGTGATTAAAATTTAACATAACATTTCCATGAACTCCCCAACCCATCCCGAAATTCCTCTCCATTACACAAAGCAATTGTTGAGTCTAAATGTCAATTTGTCTTTTTTGTTCTGTCCTTTTCTGTCTTGACTCATCCTCTGCTCTCTTCTGTAAGAGCACGCAAAGAAAAAAAGACTCTGGAGAAAGGTCAGAATACATCTATTTGGTTACATTTCAAGTATGGGAGGAACAAAGAAGTCAAAACAACAGTGGCTGGCAGATGAGCTCCGCTTCCATCAGATATTCATTAGAGTTCTTTGTCCTTTAAATTGAGTGCTTTGATGCGGAGGATAAGCAGCACATCTCACAACATTTTCAAGCAGCCCTGGATACACATCAGCAGAGTGCTGTTGATGAAGTCATCATCTTCTTCAGGGAGTGCAGAGGCACGCAGACTGTTTTTATTCAGGGTGAATAATTGAATGAGACAAGGAAGAGCATTTCATATCAGCAGGCCAGATCATCAATCACTGCCATTATCTCTGTCTCTTTCCCGGTGTCTACGCCGCTTGTCCGCAGCCTGCCGCATCCCCAGCTCTACTCACTAAACTAATTTTCTGTCTGGCGTCAATGGCAGCCAGCCTGCATCTGGATTCCGGATGCTTTTAGTGGTTTTAGCTCAGCATGTGTTTGAAAAGGTGATTATAATTTACTGCTCACCACAAGTCTTCCACGCGGAAGAGCAAAGACGTTTTGACCATGAAATTGAATGTGGCGACATCAAAACGAGGAATCACTTCTGTTTACACGCCAGCACATTAATCTTCCTAGAATGGGACTCTCTGACAGGATAAAGTGAATTGACCCCTCAGGAACTCCTCGTTCACAGCTGTGCTGTTTCTTAAAACGCCAGTTCCTCTTTGATTTCATTCAACAAAATTGACTCCAGATCTTTTCGGATTGACCACATTGTTTCTCGTCAATGAAAATCCTTTTCCTGTTTTTTGCGTCAGAATCTTAGAAAGTTAAATAGGGTAGGTGTGTACAATTAGAGTGTGTGTCATTTTAGTGATACGTATGCGGGTCCACTAAATGTCTACATGTTAACATATTTATTCACAGATATTGATGAATGCAGTATAAATCGTGGAGGTTGTAAATATGGCTGCATCAACACTCTGGGGAGTTACGAGTGTACCTGTCCACCAGGGTACAAGCTGCACTGGAACAGGAAAGACTGTATTGGTATGTAGCCGCACTGCCCCCCTGTGGTTAATTCACGTACACACACCCAGTTAACTCATAGACAGTGCCTGCCTGGGTGATTTCTCTCACTCTTTTAGCTATCTTTGTCAACAGTGTGTGATTCCGTGTGGGTTTTATTGTCCCTCAGAGCTGGTGAAATGTCCTCCTGGACTGGTGGCACCAAAGGCCACTCTGACCTGTAGCAAGACTGGCAAGAAAGAGAGCTGCTCTCTTACCTGTGCCTCCAAGGCTCACTATCTGGCAGGTATGTCACCCACAGTCAGGGCAATCACAAAACACCAAACAGAAACCTTTTTTTAATTTGACATTTTAAACATTTTCTGTGTGTGTGACCTTTTCACAGAGTCTGAAAGCAGCTACTCAGTCAGCTGTGGTATCCCCATCCTGAGAGGGAAGTCCCCTGCAAGGCTCAACTCCAGCAGCAGTCAGAGCTGCATAGGTTCGCTGCCCTCCAGATTCCCATAATCAAGCACTTTTCAACAATCCAGTTCTTGTTTGCTGTGGCTGCAGTGTGATGTTGCAGTGTTCTCCTACCCACTGTGCTGTGTTTGTCTGTAGAGACTTTGGCCCCTCCAGTGAAGCAGACAGCTTCTTTCAAGATCAAAAACGCCAAATGTCACCTGCACCCAAAACTGACCGGCAGGACGGAGGACAGAGGACGGACACTTGGACCAGGTCAGTCTTGATCTGTGTGTGTGTGATGCTGTATCTACATGATGTTATTTGGGGGAATATAAATGGATATACTGAAACAATTAATTAATTGTTTAGTAATTTGACAGATTTTTAGCTGCAACTGTTTTAATCATTTTCCAGCAATAATGCCAAATATTCACCTGTGCCAGCGCTCAAATGTTTGGCTGTTGTTCTTTGTCATATAAGAGGGTTTAAGAGTGATTGTTGGACAAAACAAACAATGTGGTTCTGGCTTTTTACATCTTTCACAATTTTCTGACATTGTATAGACAAAACAATTAGTCTAGCCAAACAAATATTGGCAGATCAACAAAAATCGTTAGTTGCAAGCCTAATATAACTGCTAATGATTTGTCTGCTCCCCTTGAGTCATACCTTTCAAGAAATGATAGTCTTTAACTCTTAAACGTTATAATTAATATGAATGTGTGTTTGGGGCAAGGTTATTATAGTTGACTAAAACTAAAGAAATAAAAATTAAAACTAGACAAAACAATATTTGTTTACTTACAAAACTAACTAAAATAAAATAAATACAAGAAATGTGTTTTTGTCTTTGTCAATTTGTTCAAATTAGTGCTTCAACACAAGAACCACGAGGAAGCATTAGTGCATATGTTTATTGAGTTTGTATTGAGTCATGTTTACATGACTGTGAGTCAGTGTGTTTGTATTGTAAAAGCTATTCTTTAATCTTGCCCCTGACAAATACCCCCAATATTATAATAAAAAACTAAAACTAATTGAAATGAAACTAAAAATAAACATTTTTAAACAATAAAAACTGAACTAAACAGAAAACAAAAACTAATGAAAAATACCAAACTTTAATAAATCTGCTTTGGGGTTGACCGATATATGTTATACAGTATTTCCTCACAGACAACGTGATGTATTGTCCACAGGAGGCGGGCAGCCCTGCAGCAACTGCCTGGTGACATTTGTCAACCTCAAATGTGACTCCTCTAAGAAAACAAAAGGGCGGCGTGCTCGCAACCCCTCTAACAAAGAGGTAACACGCATCACTTTGGAGCTAGAAGCTGAGGTCAAACCTGGAGACACTACAGGTCAGTCAACTTAAACAATACACTGACTGTGTTGATCATTTTACTGTACAAGCAACAGATTATTTATTAGTCAAAGCATGTAAGCTAATGTGCAGTGCACAGTAACGGCTTACTTTTACAATAAAGTCTTTTGAGAAAAATCTCAAAATATGTTATTTTAGTTAGGGTCTTCTGTGTGCTTGTGACTGGAACACAGTATGTTTTATTTACTGATAACCAGGGAGTTGCAATCTCAGCTGCCTCAGACAGCGCATGGAGAAGCAGGTGAAGACGTATATCAAGGCTCTGAAGAAGTCCATAAACCAGGAACGCTTCCTGATCCGAGTTGCTGGTTTGGAGTATGAGGTGGCCCAAAAACTTCCCCAGGCTGCTCCCAGTCAGGAGAACTGTGGCCCGGGCTGGGAGAGGGACAGTGGCCGATGTGGTAAGACCAGAGAGCTAGACCAGGAGTGTGGGTACACCTGTACAGTCTAATAATTCAATCCAATACAACTCTTCTGCCATCTAAGATTCCTATGATGTTTAGTTGTTGTTGACACGGTCATAGAGTTGTCATATGTTTGATGTTATACTTATATTCAGACGTGTTTCGAATATTATGCTCCTCTTATCTAATAGGCCTTTATTACTTATGAATGAATTGACACATTTCCAATCAACAAAAACTGAACATTATGGACTGAACGTAAAGAAAAAGTAGATATTATGGCAGGGTTGATTAATTGGATTGTACAGGTGTACCTAATGAAGTGGCTACTAAGTGTATAGTTTACTGGGTCACTTGTGCTTGTAACTGGGGATGCACCGATTGGGATATTCTAGGCAGATATCGATGTTTAAAATAACAAATTGGCTGATACCAAAGTTTTTGGTCGTTATTTATTCACCCTTTTGTTCCAGAAAAACGAATAAATCTTCAGATATAATCTCTGCCTTGTTACAGCTCAGTCTGTTTCTTTTCTGGTCCAAGATGTGAGATGCAGAGCTGAACAGCTGCTCACTGTCCGTGCTGCTGCATGGAGCACAACGGTATTTGCATGCAATGTTGCGCCAGTGCTGGAAAACTGAGGTGTTTATTTCTTCAGTATCCGATTTGGAATTGGTGATTTCCAAATCGGATGCTGGAGAAATTGCTAAATTGATGCGACAGATTATATAAACACCAGTCACTGACATTGGTGAATGCCATCTTTTTTGCAAACAAGGTGAATATCGGCCAATAAACTGAAAATAAAAACTTGGTTCAAGTTTTGTGTTTATGTTTTAACTGATTAAAGTGAAGTGTGTCATCTCTGACTGGAGCCGTTGTGGATATTCTCTCAGTCAGATGTTTGCCAGGGTCTTACTACCACGGTGAGCAGGAGCGCTGTGTCCAGTGTCCGCCCGGCACTTTCCAAGAGAAGGAGGGGCAGCTGGCCTGTGACCTCTGCCCCGGCAGCGACGGTCACGGTCCCGTTGGTGCACGAAACATCTCCTCCTGTGCAGGTAGTTTAAAGTCCCAGGGATGATTTTAATTATGTAGGTCTGATCTTGTGAAGTGTCCTTAATCAACCGTGTCTCCATGTTGTACAAATCAAATCCAGGCCAGTGTCCGACGGGGTACTTCTCCAGTGACGGGTTCAAACCTTGTCAGCCGTGCCCTCAGGGCGCCTACCAACCAGACTTGGGGCGGACCTTGTGCTTCCCCTGTGGGGGAGGACTGAGCACCAAGCGGGAAGGTTCCAGCTCCTTCCATGATTGTGAAGTTAAAGGTCAGCCTGTGCTCTTTTTATGCAGCCAATGAAAGAAAATGTACTTTAATAATCTCCAAAACTTTCCCCACTAAATGTGTCTTTTTATTTCTACTCTGCAGTTCAGTGTTCTCCAGGTCATTACTACAACACCACAGTACACCGGTGTATCCGCTGCCCAGTGGGGACGTATCAGACAGAGTTTAGACAGAACTACTGTATTTCCTGCCCTGGGAACACCACCACTGATTTTGATGGTGCCACAAGTGTCTCGCAGTGCAAAAGTGAGTATGAAAATAACTGTTTTGTGTTTTCAGATTTCTTATCTATGAGCTGGAAGCTAATTTGTTTTGTTTGTGTACTTCTAGACAGGCAATGTGGTGGTGAAATGGGTGAATTCATGGGTTATATTGAGTCACCTAACTATCCCGGTAATTACCCTGCTAATGTGGAGTGTATTTGGAACATCAACCCGCCCAGCAAGCGCAAGATCCTAATCGTGGTGCCAGAGATTTTCCTGCCCTCAGAGGATGAGTGTGGAGATGTGCTGGTTATGAGGAAGAACTGTGAGTCTCATTTCCAGTTGTTGGTTCAGTGAAATTTAGTGTTTATACTCTAAATAATTGTACCATACAAGGAGCAGTTCTGAAAACCAGATTAGTCACCATTGTCCTTTCTGTGCCCCTGCAAGGGTCAGCCACATCCATCACCACCTACGAGACGTGTCAGACGTACGAGCGGCCAATCGCCTTCACAGCTCGCTCCAGACGTCTCTGGATTAACTTTAAGTCCAATGAGGCAAACAGCGCCAGGGGCTTTCAGATCCCTTACGTTACTTATGATGGTATGTAGCTCATTTATCACTCCAGCAACTATGAACTGTCCTGAGAAACTCTGTGACTCTGTGTTTCTCACTAGTGGTAACTTAGCCATGCAGATAGTTTCAGTTTTATTTGTCCAGCTTTTAAGATATCCATCTCTGAAATTTCCTGCTCCACCCTGATTTCCTTTTTTGTGTTTGTCAACTATAGCCCTACTGATACTGGACACAGATATCAATATTTGTTAAACATTTCTTATGAGGTTTCCTAAAATATATTTTATTAAAGAGTTGTGACTAAGATATGTAATCATGACTTTATTTATGTAGCACTGCTTCACCAAGTCATAAAATCTCCAGGTGTAAAGTGCTTGTAAATTTAAAATACAAATAATTAAAATTTATATAAAGAGCAATTTAAGAAATTTAAATGCAGTAGAAGCACAATTGAAGATTTACAATTACAAAATTAAACAATTTAAGAAAATGCAGTTCTAAAATAATGTTTTGAGGAAAGATTTAAACAAAGGTAAAGCTTTCTTGGTGTCCTCTGGTCAACTTGAGAATTACTAATTTGAGTCTTACCAGAAGGCAGTGGCTCAGATGGGGTCAGACAAATAGTCATATACACTCAGTAGGACATTGTATAGCTGTAAAGTAAACTTGTCACTGTCCTCTGGTGGACAAACAATGTTATTGCGACAGTTTCTAAATCTGTCTTGCAGTCTCTTGTTATTGTTTGATATATCTGCAATAAGCTAATATTGGTTATCTGTCTAATTCTACTCAAAACATTGAAAAAGCATCCCACCTTTCCTGAAACATCTGGAAAATAGATGTTGCTGCCTACATTTTTCTAAATTTCTCTATTGTGAGCACTGCAAAAGAAAATTCAATAAAACCTAAACTATCTACATTGCTAGACGTACCACTAGAGGACGCTTTAATATTACAGTGCATAATTTACTGAAACATCCCATAGGAGATAATAAACTAAGTGAAAGGGAGTGTGTTAATATTATTTCACAAACTCTTTTTGGATATGCGTTTTCAGCATCTCATGAGGTGACTTGTTTCGTGTTTTTCTAAATCCAGAGGACTATGAACAGCTCGTAGAGGACATAGTGCGAGATGGAAGACTCTATGCCTCAGAAAACCATCAAGAAATCCTCAAGGTTAGCAGCTAGATTTCTTCTTACCGTGTTTAAATTTCCCTTTATTTATTGTTAAGACAACCTGGGTATGGTGATTGGTTAAGCAATAAGCTTAATTAACAAACGGTACTTGCATGAGTCAGACGGTAACAGTACATTGATATTGAAAAGATTTGTTAATGTCGTCTGATGAGTGAGTTATTGTTTTCCAGCATTGTGTAAGAGCTTCAAATGTAATTCAAACTGTTATTAAGGATGGAAATATGTGATTACGTGTGGAGTTCACACCCATTTCTTTTTCCTCTACAGGATAAAAAACTGATTAAGACTCTTTTTGATGTGCTGGCTCACCCAAATAACTACTTTAAGTACACCACTCGGGAGTCCAACGAGATGCTTCCTCGCTCCTTCATACGTCTCATAAGCAGCAAAGTCTCCGCTTTCCTGAGACCTTACAAGTAAAGTCACTCAGCTGCTCAAGCACCGGATCGTGAACCCCCCCGACATCCCCGACATCCCCCTCATCCCCCTCCACTCCCCTCCACCTTACAGGCCACATCCCGCAACTCTCGCAGGACTTAACACACAACATACTAGTACGTTTACTCTCTTATTTTCCATAGGCTTTGACAATAAACACTATGCAGACCTGAGAAACACTGAAAATCACTTGTTTCAGGTTTTCTCTCCGTTTCCATTCAGCACAGGTCTGCAATCCTGAGCTCAAGCATTTAGTGGGGGTGTAGAGTATGTGAGTGGATTTGGTTTCTATTGTGTTGTGCAATGAAACCACCAAAAAAAACAAGACGGTAGGAGTGACGTTTTGTGTGTACGGTTTGAGCTTGATAGAGCTTGTTATTGTATTTGCTTAAATGAGTGGTCCAGCTCCAACTCCTACCATTAAGTATGACTGTAAGTGTTGTGTAAGTGTTGTGTAACCCTGGTTCCATCTTCAGTGTCTGTGTGCTGTCCTCGAGGAGGAGCGGTTGTTAAATTCATGTCGCAGCTGCGTTCGACGTCATTTAAAGCCTTACTATATTTGAGCTCTTAGAGCGCTTTCCAGGGGTTCTACTGTTAAAACAGTTAATCTATGTTTTGTTCCATCTGTCTAGACTGTACTGACGTTTTCCAACCTTCAGATAATTTTTGTTGCTCTTTTTTTTGTTTGTTTAAGCCAACTTAAAAGCAGATACAAAAAAGGTGGTTTATCATTCCAGGAACATAGTGGACATTTGGGAGATGAATAACAAAGTAATTGTGAGAACCACAGAAATGAGAATGTGATGTCTAGTGGAACATATCTCTGAGAGAGAGATAGAGAGAAATGTCTTTGAGGGACATGATGTTTGCTGCTTCTTTTAAAAAGGTCACTTTAATTCTTCAATCTCATATTGTCTTTCTGATGTACTCTACACACTAATAGTCTAAAACAAAAAAGGAAGCTCCACATCTAAAAATAATTTAGTTCTTACACACAGTAAGTTCATAATCTCACAATGCCGGTCTGTGGACTACCAGTTTTGTGTTTTTATTTCAATCTTGTAAATAATGAAAATAAATTAGACAAGGGTTGAATTCTTTAATCCTACTTTTGTTTTTAAACGCAGGACCCCCCCCCAAAAAAATAAAAAATAATCACTTTTTGCCCTTTGTCCCACCCATCTCAAATCCAAAGACACCCAGTAACCCTCCAAAAAACACCCCACTCAGAGTTTGTTCTGTCCTAATGAAGACAGCTCTTCCAAAGACCCCCAAATATTTAAACAGTGACTACGGGCAGAGGAAGTTTCCCCATTTTCAGAGAAATACTGTAAAATATTAAGTCTGTCAAAAAAATGTAATTGAGTATTTGGTGTGTATAAGATATTCTTTGCCATTTCAAAACAGCGACCAAAACAGGGTAAAATAAGTTAAGTAAATATCTAACACTTCGCTTCATGTTACGATCTAGTAAAAGGAGTAGTTTAATATTTTGGGAAATGCGCTTATTCTCTTTCTTGCCAAGAGTTTAGATGAGAAAAATCTATACCACTGATGTCTTTACAGTAAATGTGAAGCTACAGCCACGCGACAGTTAGCTTAGCATAAAGACTGGAAACTGAAAACAGCTAGCCAGGCTCTGCCTAAAGATAACAAAATCCACCGAGCAGCAGCTTTACAGCTCAGCTAACATAAAATCAGTACAACATGTTGCAGTTTTACAGGGAGTTGTGTTGCACCATTTCTTGGCTTGGTGCAGTGACTTAAGGAATGACTCTGCAAGAAAGTATTTCCCAAAATTTAGGGACTTCTTTTAAATTCATTACCACCACTGCAGTCAGATTGGTACAATGATAATCCCAGCCCCTTAACCCGTATATTCAACCCTCTAAAAACAAATTGAGTCGATGCCTGCGCTGATATCTAATGAATTTTCTGGGGAGTCATTTTGTCCTCACTTGTGTAAATTTAAAAAATAAAAATAAAATGATTGTACACTTCATATTATGTACCAAATGGTAATTTTAAGTTACTTTAAGATGACAAAGGGATTTCAACAACATTGTCAAAGCTAAGGGCGATACTGGGCCAAGCCACGAAGATGTCAGTCTGAATATTCCTCTCTCTATATATATATATATCTATATATATATATATATATATATAGATATATATACATACACATACATATACATACAC